GGCAAGGAATTTCCACAATCTCTGCGAAGACTTCCCTTACAGTGCCCGCTTTCAGTAATGGGGTGGAGAGGAGATCGTTTGGGGGATAAATGTGGAAAAGATCTGTTTTCTGACTCATGTGATGGGGGTCTCTAATGTAGATGGGGTGTGTCTTCCTGCTGAAGTGATTCCTTTAAGTGTTTTTCTCTGCTTTTCACCAGATACTATCAGATACCACACACCAGATAGGATCAGATAGGTGTGTATATTATAAGTGTTGAAATAGAAACAAGAGTGTGGAGAAGGCATGTGGGTGCCCTTTTCTGGCTGCAGTTACATCTGGCAGTACTCAGGGGATAGTTCCAGCTTAGTGCCCAGGGGAAACTACGGTCTTAAGCTCCTGCATGAGAAGCAGACTCTCAGACCATAGGGCCATCTCTCTGGCCCCCATGTGGGCTCTCATGATGGTCTTTTATTTTGTTTTATTTTTTTAAATTTTTATTAGTGAGACATCATGAGGTACAGTTGTAGACTTACGAATTTTTGTGCTTGGGTTTCAATTATACAATGATGAAATACCCATCCCTCCTCATGATGGTCTTTTAGAGTTCACAGTAGACCTTTCTTCTTTAAGTGTGATCATAGTGCTGTGTGTTTCTTGTTGCGAGATGTATTTCTAAATGCATTTGGAAAGGGGAAAGCACTGTCTGTCTGTTATTGCCACACCTCTGAGCATCATGTTACCATGTTCAGTGTAACAAAGGGAGAGTCACAGGGAGGGGGCAAGGGATAATAATATAACTAATAAAGGAGGCAGATAAGTTTTACTAATTTGGGATCAAACCAAATTGTTCCCTTTGTTTTTGTTTTGTTTTGACCATTTTTATTGAGGCACTGGGGTTTACAATACTGTTAATCCTCTCCTGTAGACATCATCCCAGTACCACACCCATCACCAGAGGACCCACTTCCAGTGTTGTAAGGACCCCTCCCAGCCATGTTTCCCCTCCCCTCCCCCTGCCCATCCTTGTAAGCTCAATTCTATAGATTAAATTTCCAGTTCCAATGACTTTGACAATTTTTTTGACATCATAAGTTGTTCTCTTACTATGTTTCTTTATATCCAATATATGAGAGAAATTTCTTTTTTGATTTATTGCGGAGGTGGTAACACCTACACACATATAGATGAATAAAGTTGAACTCCTAAAATTCCACAAAGTTGTACGTCAATGATAAATGGGTAAAAAAATATTTTTTCAAAACTTTTTTCAAGTATGAAGGTAAAGGTAAAGGCCCTCCCGTTGATCGTCGATTTGCTCGAGCGGGCCCAGTAACGTCTCCATTGGAGACTTTGTTGTTACTGTGTTTGGCATATCGAATACTCTCGGTAGCTTGCCGGGCTCTCCGAGTCTTTTCAAAAAAATGCATAGATTTTTCAAGTCTATGCATTTTTTTCTTCTGCATATTCTTTTTTTAGGGAAGGGCTGGAGTGATAAGCACAGCGGCAGGGCGTTTGCCTTGCACGCAGCCAGCATGGCCGACCCGAGTTCGATTCCTCCGCCCCTCTCGGAGAGCCCGGCAAGCTACCGAGACTATTCGATATGCCAGACACAGTAACAACAAAGTCTCCAATGGAGACGTTACTGAGCCCGCTCGAGTAAATCGATGATCAACGGGAGGGCCTTTACCTTTTATTCTTTTTTGGGGGGAGGTCACACCCAGCGATGTTCAGGTGTTACTCCTGGCTCTGCACTCAGGAATGACTCATGGTGGTGCTCAGGGGGCTATAGGGATTGCTGCAATAGCACAGCGGTAGGGCATTCGCCTTACAAGCGGCCAACATGGCCGACCCGAGTTCGATTCCTCCGCCCCTCTCGGAGAGCCCGGCAAGCTACCGAGAGTATCTCGCCCGCACGGCAGAGCCTGGCAAGCTCCCCGTGACGTATTCGATATGCCAGACACAGTAACAACAAGTCTCATGATGGAGACGTTACTGGACCCGCTAGAACAAATCGATGAACAGTGGGAGGACAGCGCTACAGTGCTATTAGTAAGTTAAGGTTGTAATGAAAATCTCAATGGATATAAAAACCTACCTGAACAGACACAGAACATTCAATATAAATGATGTTAATTCATGATTGAAAAATATAAAATACTTCAGTAAACAGATCTTTCTTAACCCATAAATACTCAATGGCAAAGTACTGAGAATTCTCTTCTGGCTTGTAGAGTCTCGTTTGCTATATATGTGAATCTTATGTGCTTTTCTTTGTGTGTAAGTTCCTTCTTTGATCATCTGCTTTTGATATTCTGCCTTTGACTTTCATCATTCTGAGTATAAGGTGTCTTGGAAGTTTTCTCTGTGAGTCTGTTTTTTTCTGGTACCATTGAGATTTTTTGGATCTTGGTGCCTACACTCTCCAACATGGGGAAATTGGAAGGAAGGAAGGAAGGAAGGAAGGAAGGAAGGAAGGAAGGAAGGAAGGAATGAATTCCAGAGGTCAGAGGTAACAGACCAAAACCAGGGTTCCTGCATGAGCCCATGCAAACACTGACAAGTTCAGACACTGCTGTGGTAAGCCAGCAGCGTCTGATGTGACAAACAGCCACACAGGCCTCATCTGTCATGAGGCAGACAGTTGGCCCCACTGCATGCGAGCCCCACCAAGCGGTGCTCCGTGGGGGGGGGGGGTTGTGCTGGAGACGGCAGCCCCTGTCTGCGCACCAGCCACTGCTGGATATCTGGTATCTGGCGTTTCCACTCGTGTGAAGGCCCCTCTTAGTTTGGGTCGTGTGCGTTTTGGATTCCCTGAATGCCTCTCATTCCTTCTCCTGTGCCAGCAGCATGAACGGCAGCTTGCCTTCTCCTCGGGGGCGGCGGCTCTGTCCACATTGAGCCTTCATGGTTCCACTGCACCTTTTGGATGGATGAGAAGAACAGATGGTTTAAGGTAGTGAAGAATGTAGTGTGGGCTCTACCCTTAGAGCCAAAAAGGGGGAAAAAAATCCCAAAAGAACTAGTGAGGTTTACCTGAAGACCCCCAAATCAGCCCCTTTGGAAGGTTTCACGTGCATTTGTCCAAACTGAAATATCAGAGGGACACACAGTTGTCAGTGTTGGTGTGTTGGTGTTTCTGCTGACAGAAAGCCCAGTGGAAAAAGCCCAAACTTAAGAGCTGCCAGCAGTGCTGAAGGCCAACAGACAGTGATTTTTTTTTTCTTTTTTCTTTTGGGCTGTACTAGCTTGTGCTCAGGAGTAACTCCTGGTGATATTCATGCAGCACCAGGGATTTGAACCGAGGACTGGAGTGACACACAGCCAGTGCCCTACCCCTGGGCCATCTCTGGTCATACATATTTGTTTTGGGGGTTTGTTTATTTTTTATAAGACCTGAAGCACTTTTTTTTGTTTTTTTGTTTTTGTTTTTGTTTGGGGACCACACCTAGTGGTATGCACAGATTTGGCTCTGTGGTAAGGATCACTCCTGGCAGCACTCTCAGGGGACTTATTTGTGGTGCCAGGGATTGAACCTCAGTTGGCCGCATGCAAGGCAAGTGCCTCACCCACTGTACCTAACTCTCTCATCCCTGAAGCACTAGTTGAGATTTTCCAAGAGTATACAGACCAATGTTTCTAGAAGTAGATAATGACTCTCATCAACAAGTTCCCGATTTTAGTTTTATACTGCAGGAGATTTCACTTATATGTTTTAAATAAGTCTAAGAGTCCATTAAATATGATCTTTTTTCTTTTTAATCCAGATAAGTAACACATGGCTGACTAGGGGCCAGGGAGATGGGTCAGTGGGGTGCTCACTTTGCATGCAGGAGCCCCGGATTCAATTTCAGCTCTGTATGTCCCCCAAAGCACCAAAACAGTAGTAACACCAAAGCACCAAGCTGGGTGGGGCCCCACAACAAACAAGCAGAAATATAAGAGTTAGAGAGATCGTGCAGGGGTTAAGGGACTTGTCTTGCATGGGACACACCCTGGTCCCATCCTCATCACACCATCTGCTCCCTGAGCCCCATTAGGAGTGATCCCTGACCACAGAGTTCGGGAGTAAATCCTAAGCACCACCGGATATGGCTCCTGAACCAGAGCTCAATAGAGATAGAAGATGGGCAAGCCCTAAGCAATGTTTATTTGATCTCTGCTGCATCTCAGAACGCAGCTGCTTGCTTTTTATTGAATCCTAACAACACAAATGGAGGTCTTAATACTTGGCCCCACCGTAGAAGCAAAGAAACCACAGTTTGGGGATAATAGGTGACTTTCGTGAGTCCCGAGTGGCCAAGCTACTGGCCGCGAGACCTCGCTGGGTCTTCTTTTCATCTTGCCCTTTATTATCGAGGAACTATGCACAGATGAAAGGGACCCAGATGCAGCCTGGCCCTCCATACCCCGGGGACCTGAGTTTCACCCCACAGGCCCCTGGCCACACCACTCACCATCGAATCAAAGTGAAACAGGAGAATCCAGCGTCTCAGTGGTCACGAGCTCCAGTGTACACGCTCTGGCTCATGGTCTCTGTTGGCACCAGGACAGACACTTCTATCCGGGTGAGAAGTTCTGTCAGACAGCTCTGCTGGCTGAGAAGGGCTCCAAGGCACTGCATGTTTCCCGTGCCCGATCCTCTGTGCCAGTTAGAAACAGATGCTGCCCACCAGTATGTGGCCTCATCCACCCCTCCTCCCTCCCAGCTCCAACCATGTGAGTGTGTGTGTGTGTGTGTGTGTGTGTGTGTGTGTGTGTGTGTGTGTGTGTTGGTTTGGGGCCACATCCAGGCGATTCTCAGGGCTTACCCCTCGCTCTGCACTCAGGAATCGCGCCTGGGGGTAAGTGCTTGGGGGAATCATTTGTGGTACTGGGGATCAAACCCTAGTTGGCCGCACGCAAGGCAAGCGCCGTGTGTGTGTGTGTGTGTGTGTGTGTGTGTGTGTGTGTGTGTGTGCGCGCGCTCGCGTGCGCACCCACACACACACTCAATAGCACGTTCGCTCTGTCTCTCCAGGAGGAAGTCGGCCGGATATGGAAGATGGAGCTGCTGAAAGAGTCAGACGGGCTGGGCATTCAGGTTAGTGGCGGCCGAGGATCAAAGCGCTCGCCTCACGCTATCGTGGTCACTCAAGTGAAGGAAGGAGGTGCCGCTCACAGGTGACTAGAGAACCCCCCCTTTCTCTGCTTGCCCCCCCCCATCTCCCCTGCCCAAATCCTCTCCTCCTCCTTCCCACCCACCTCTCCCGCCAGTCCCCTGCGACTGACTGGGTCTCCTTCATTTGGGTCAACACACTGGTAATTAAAGTTCACAGGCTTCAGCTGGAGCCGGAAGGAGCTCAGGCCTGAGCTGGTCTAATTAAACACCCCCGGAGCACAGGAAGTGGCTAATTGCTGGCGAGAGGCAGGCTCCTCCCAACCATGAAAGAGAGAGTGGATTCCTCAGGGGTGCCCCTATTTAGGTTTCTGACCAGTGAACCTGAGGTTGGGGGTGCTGATAGTGTGCAGCAGGGGCCCTCATGCCCGACACCTGAACTGCTGTGGGTGCGGGTGAATGACTCAGCCAGGCCGGGGGCTGCCGAGGGGGAGGCAGTTGGGTTCGGCGTGACAGTGACGCGCGGCTTCGTCAACGGGAGTCTGCAGGCATCGAGAGAGACACATGTCCCTGTCATGCAGGTTCATGGGGGAGGAGAGAAGTCACTCAGAAACGTTCTCCTGACCAGAGAACAATCCCTGTGTCATGCAAATGATTTTCCAATCTGGACAAGTCCTCAGAGTAGGATAGGGACAGTGATTAGACACAGTGCAAAAAGAAGACTGGAGTGACAGAGAAGTGTGGCACAGTGGCCAAGTGCTGGACGACACTGGTCCCAATGAGCTATTCCATAGGGGGGTGGTATAGCGCCCTCTGGAGTTGTGCAGTCACACTCCATGATGTTTGCATGCCTGGGAGATGGCTGACAACACTGTTCTCAGCACGAACCCCATCATCAGCACCACTGATGTGTAGCTGTCCCAGCTCCCAAGACGCAGCTCCACTATGCCAGAGGATGGCTCTCTCGGGCCCCAGGCATCTCCTACTTGGAAGCAGGGTTCCGTGCAGCTGTAATTCTCTGTGCTACTTATAGACTGTTCCCCCGGATGGAGCTTTCAAGGGGGAGTCCCCAAAGCAGCCATGGAAAGCACATCTCTGGCTTAAATTCCAAATCTTATTCTATTGTGCAGAACAGTGTAGTCTGATGTGCCTGAGACAGAGCCAGATCGTGTTTGTCTGTTCGCTGGCATATATTTTGCAGTTGTTTGGGAGAATGAAGATTAAGATTTTTAACAGAGAGGACCATAGTGAGTGATTAAGATTTTTAACAAAGAGGGCCATAGTGAGCGACCAACCCAGGTTCAATCCTGGCATCCCATTTGGTCTCCTTCTTTTTTTCTTCTTTTTTTTTCCTTTTTTTTTTTTTTTTTTTTTTTTTGCTTTTTGGGTCACACCCATTGATGCTCAGGGATTACTCCTGGTTCTGCACTCGGGAATTACTCTTGGCAATGCTCGGGGGACCATATGGGATGCCGGGGATCGTGCAAGGCAAACGCCCTACCCGCCGTACTATTGCTCTGGTCCCAGGAGTGATTTCTAAGTGCAGAGTCAGCAGTAATCCCTAAGTATGGCTGGGTTAGCCCACCCACCTCCCTGCAAAAAAAGATTAGAAGAATACCCACACCACAGCTGCTGTTGGCCTGGCCTGAGCTGACTCCCATGGGTGGTCAGGGGCTGTATGGAGGTGGGGGTTTTACTGATGGGGGTGGGGGCTCAGCCTCAAACCTAAAGGTTAATCCAGGTACCCTGATTTTGAAGAGGAGATGGCAAACCAGAGCTGTGGATTGGCCCTTTGAAACCGAGAAGGTGCTAGAAAATCTCCTGGGTGTGCTGGACTTGACGTAGCTGCAGGCGTTCAAGAACATGCAGCTCGGAAGAAGACCAGAGCACAAAAGAGTCATGGGTGTGTCCCCCGTATTAGAGAATGTGCCACTCATAATTGAAGGGAGATAAGCTCGGCTTCGGCTGGCTGTCGGCTGGATGGGGCAGTTATTACGGGAGGAGGAAGACCCAGGATCGTTTTTATCCAGAAGAGCATCAGGAAACTTCCCAAATGATGTGTGCTTACAGGACAAAGTCCCATCAGATAGTCCTGGCCCCTGCCTTTCACGCTGCAGTGAGTGGCAAGTTGGCAATTAGGAGAGTCCTGTGCCCGTCGTGAGCTAATGCAGGCCCTGCATTAGTCTGTTTGCTGTGCTAGCTGTTTCTAGGAGGTTCCACCTGTTCTTCTCACCCTTGGCTGGGAGCTGTGTGTGTTACAGGTGTAACTGATCTGCTTTCTAGAGTGTAGCCGAATTTCTTAGCCCTTTTACCCCAGTGTAATTGACATGTGGGACATCCTGGCTGTAAGGGGACGAGAAGGATGGAGAGAAGCAAGAAATCAGAAAGTGAGGACAAGGGTGGTCTTCCTGGGAATCCTTCAGGAGCAGTTCTGGCTCTCGGCCTATTTCCTGTACTCCACAGTGGCATACCCCAGGGTCCAGCTGGCTTGCCTCATATTTTTTTCCGAGACTCCTCCTTTCCATTCTACGCAGTTAATGGGATAAATCCTTTCTCTTTCCGGGCTTTAGGGACTTTTGAAGGTCCAAAGCAGAGGCTGTGGAAAGCTTTACAGCCTACATTCATAGAAAGGCTGATGACGATGGTAGTGCTGATGATGATGCTGATGATGATGGTATGATGATGCAGAGAGGGAGGAAAGGAGGAAGGAAACTGTGAATGGAAGGAAGGATGGAAAAATCAAAGCCAATGAAGTTGTTGAACGAAAACAAGGAGGGAATGCAGATTTTACAGGTTGGAGAGAAGCAGATGATTTTGAGACCATGAAACGTGTACATGGATGAGGCCAAAGAATTAGTAGAGCAGGGAGGGTGCTTGCCTTTCATGCATCTGACCCAGTTTTGATCACTGGAACCCCTTGGGGTCCCCTGAGCCTGCCAGTATTGATCCCTGAGCACAGAGTCAGGACCAAGCCCTAACCACAGTTAGGTATGACTCAAAACCAAATAAACAAATAAAAAATGTTTGTGGTCCCCCACCTGCTGCTGTCAAGCTAGTGAGGGGCTGGTAGAAGCCTCGGATCTCTCAGCCATACCAGGTCCAAGTGAGCTTGGGAGAACTGAGCTCAGCACCTAACCCCATGGGACGACCCACCACGAGGCCAGATAGCAGATAGGACTGAGAAGGACTGAGTATTCTCACAACTACCATCCTGATTTCCTTAATATGATTCCCACCCAGCCGGGATTCATTTCCTTGACTCCGATGCCAGAAATGCTGCTAACTTAAGAACATGACAATTGCTAAGCCACCATCTGAAGTCACAGCACCTGTCCCTGAGGAGCGGGCCTCCGAACCCAGCCAGGCTTGAGTAGTTCCCCCCACCCCCATTCCAAACTTCCTCCCACACCTTCCCCCTGCAGCCCCCACTCCTACAGAGTCTTGACCGGGAATTCTGTCTGTCTCCGTTTCCCCAGGGATGGCAGACTGGCCTTGGGCGATGAGCTGCTGGTGATCAACGGTCACTTGCTGGTGGGACTCTCGCACGAGGAAGCCGTGGCCATCCTCCGCTCGGCCAGCGGGGTGGTCCAGCTGGTGGTAGCCAGCAAGGTAGGTCCCTTGGGTCTGTGCTGGGACTCAGTCCTGCTCCTCCTTTGCGTCCCTGTGGCCATGGAATGCCGTAGTCATGCCCTTCATGAGGGAGGGTACCTTCACACTGGGTGGAAGAGCCCACACCTGTGGTTGTGCCTCTGGGGTTGCCTTTGGCATGGGTTGTGGGCAGTGCTCAGGGTACAAGCAGCAACTCACAGAGCAAGGCAGGTGTGAGGAGGTTTCATGAGTACCACCCAAGAGTGTTTGGTTTGACTCTGTCTGGTTGGGGGGACACACCTGGCAGTGCTCAGGATGACTCCTGACAGTGCTCTGAGGACTACAGGTAGTGCTAGGGATTCGAACCAGACTCCTGGCCAACATGACCACATGTAAGACAGGCTCCTTACCTTCTGGCTCCCATGTTCGTTTTTAAGTATGTACTTGTGTATCAATGTTTATGAGGAACGGACTCGTTCCTGACGTTCCATTTGCTCTCAACGGAATGAACATCTCCAAATGCAGTAGTTATGTGTACCTAGGTCAAGAATTCAACATGATGAATGACCTGGCACCTGAGTTGCACAGGAAAAAGAGAGCGGCTTGGAACACCTTCAAGAGTGTTGAAGAAATAACTAAGAGGATGAAGAACATTCAGCTCTGGGCACATCTCTTTGATTCCACTGTTTTTCCTGCATTAACATATGCCTCAGAGACCTGGGGCCTACAAAAACAGGATGAGAATGCTATTCGGGGTCCCAAAGAGGAATCGAAAGAGCTATGCTTGAAGTATCACGCTTCACTCAAATGAGAGAAAGAATCCAGAGTTCCGACCTCCATCAATGCTCAAAAATCAGGGACACTGTCTCGTTCGCCAAGTCATCAAAAATCAGATGGGCTGGACACGTAATGCAATTTGGAGACGACCACTGGACTAGATGACGATTGGATTCCACAGGACATCAAAAGATAGAGTAGCCACGCACCTACAAGATGGTCAGATTTCTTCGTCAAGACCCTGAACAATTGGTTTGAGGCTCTTTATGTTCCTGGAGCAAGCAGATGCCATTTGGCTACACTAGCAAGAGACAGGGACAAATGGAGTCATTACTGGCACCCACTCAAGCAAAGAGATGAGTAACACGATGTCAAGAGATCAAGTGATCTGTGTATCTGGACTTAGATGCATGTATGTGTATGCACGTGGAGTGTCAAACCCATGAAACACATCCCTGGCCCCTGTTTTTAATTTGCTGTTGTGGTTTGGTTTGCAGACCACACCCAGCTACTCTCTGTACAGTGCTCTGGGGACCACGCAGGGAATCAGAACCAGACCTCCCCAGGAAAGCATGCACTTAGCCCTTTGAACTCTCTCTGACCTGGTTTATAATTTTTTTTTTCAGTGATGGTGATGGATTTGCATTTGAGTCCTCCCTGTACCCACACCCACACCCACACCCACAGAGGCACCTGCATACTTGTGTGCACACACACCTATCCTGGATCATTTAAACAGCCATGATTCTGAGCTACAAGTGCACACAACACCCCACATACATCTAAATTTTCTTTCTCTAAAAAAAGTTCATCTCACTGATTTCTTTTTTTTTTTTTTAATTTCTTTTTTCCCCCCCTTTTTGGCTTTTTGGGTCACACCCGGCAATGCTCAGGGGTTACTCCTGGCTCTGCACTCAGGAATTACTCCTGGCAGTACTCGGGGGACCATATGGGATGCGGAGAATTAAACCTAGGCCAGCAGCATACATGGCAAACACCCTCCCCGCTGTACTATCACTCTGGACCCGTTTCACCTGATTACAATAGTGTTAATGTTTATGATTTTGATAAAAGTCAAAAACCATAAAAGTCACTGCATCTTCACCACCACCAAGCTGTCCGATTTATAATTCTTCTAAGTGTCTTTTGAACATTTTTTTATATTTTTATTAGTGAAACACCATGAGGTACAGTTGTAGATTTACAAATTTTTGTGCTTGGTTTTCAGTTATACAATGATCGAGTACCCATCCCTCCACCAGTGCCCATTTCCCACCACCACTGATTCCAGTATCCCTCCCACCCCCCATCCCCCCCATCCCACCCTGCCTCTGTGGCAGGGCATTCCCTTTTGTTCTCTCTCTCCTTTTGGGTGCTGTGGTTTGCAAAAGAGGCATCATGCTGAAAGTAAGACTATAGACCAAACATGATTGCCATTCAATATTTTTTTTGGGGGGTGAGGGGGAGGTACACCCAGCAGTGCTCGGGGCTTACTCCTAGCTCTGTGCTCAGGAATCACTTGTGGCAATACTCCGGAGGCCCTCTGTGGTGCCAGGCATTGGAACTGGGTCTGTTGCAGGCCAGGTGCAAGGCAAGCGCCTTCTACGCTGTACAATCTCTCCAGCCTCGCTTTTATGTAAGATGGAGGAAAAGGCCAGCATGGCCGGGTGAGGAAGCACACAGGCATGGAGAGGAGCAGCCTGCCTGGATGCAGCGCGGAGGCCACGGGGACGTGCCGAGGTTCTGCTCTCGGGGAGATCCCCGAGGGCTGCTTCTGACTCATGGCCTCCCCAGAGCTGGCACCCCAGGAGAGCCTGTGGGTCCTGTTGGTCCAGCCACCCCCTCCCTCTCCCACACCTTGGTTTGACCCTGAGCCGTGAGGCCCAGCAGCCTAGCTGGGTGCCCTGAGCACGTCAGGCTCCTACAGCCCCCTCTGCCTGTGCCTCTCCTCCAGGAGGGACCCCCTCCAGGGCCATGATCCCGGACCCCTTCTTCCAGTCTGCTTCCTGCCCTGGAGAAAGGAGCAGGCTCCAGGGCTGCTGGCTGCCGGAGTCATCCATGGACAGGAGGGACCGAGGCTATCGAGGTCACCTTGCCTGCTGCCTCGGAGATGCCCCAGGAACCCCCGGGGGATTAACGGGCCCCCGAGGCAGAGCCCGGAACGCCTTCCAGCGGGGAGCTCGGGGGTTTTCCCCTGGCTCTGCGCTCAGGATCTCTCCCGCGGCTGGGATCCAACCCAGGCATTTTGTCCTGCGCTCGGCCCATGGGACCAACTCCAGATTCCTCAGCTTTTTCGTGTATTTCACCCCGTCAGATTTTGAGGGCCTGTTTTCAGAGGGTTTTGTGAATAGGTTGGAAGAATATTTTGCACTTTCTGAAAAATCTCCTTTGCTCCCTGTATGTCTTTGGCCCTAAGCCCCTCGCTCCGGACGCCGGGCTCTCCCCAGGTGGGCAGAGCGGGCAGGGCAGAAGCTAAGAAGTGTGTCCTTTCCTCCCTCGCTGCCTCCGCCGCCCAGTATGCTGCAGGCAGCCTGATCTCCTCTCTCTCTCTTCCATTAATGCACACACACACACACAAACACACACTCATACACATACAAACACACAGACACACACAGGCCCACACAGATACACACACAGAGACACGCACACAGACACACATACAAGCACACACAGACACGCACACGCACACACAGACACACACAGACACATGCATACATACAGACATGTACACACACATACACAGACACATATACACAGACACACATGTACACACAGAGATACACATACATAGACACACATATACACACACAGACACACATACATACATGCACAAACACATATACACAGACACACATGCATGTACAGATAGACACACATACATACACACACATACATACATACACACATGCACAAACACATACATAGACACACACATGTGCACACAGACACACATACACACACAAACACATACAGAGACAGACACACATGCATGTACATACAGACACACAGACATACATGCATGTGCACACAGACACACACACATACATACACACATAGTCTTGTTAGGTCTCACTGCAGGGTGCCCTGGGGTAACGCATGGACTTTTTGTGTCTGCAGGAAAACTCTGCCGAGGAACTCCTCCGCTTAACAGCCAAGAGTCTGCCCGACCTGGCCAGCTCGGCAGAGGACGTGTCCTCCTGGACGGACAAGGAAGACCAGGAGCCGGACGCGGATGAGGACGTAGGAGCCAGCGCCTCTTCCAGCCGGGGCACAGTGAGTGGGCCTGCTGCGTGCGGCTCCCCTGCACACCTGGTGCCGGCCCATCGGGCAGAAGGTTGAGATTGCGGGAGGGGCCCAGAGTAAGCTGACGCGTCCTTGTCTGCGTGAGCCCAGTGGGCACCAGCACTAAAGAGCAAATGCTCCAGCAGCAGAGCAGAGTTGGCACGGCAGAGGACCTCAGTGGTGCCATGGGGAGGATCTCAGTGTGCTATAGGGAGTACCTCAGTGTGCCACGGGGAGGACCTCAGTGTACTATGGGGAGGATCTCAGTGTGCCATGGGGAAGATCTCAGTGTGTCAAGGGGAGGGGACCTCAGTGTGCCATGGGGAGAATCTCAGTGTGTCAAGAGGAGGGGATCTCTGTGCCATGGGGAGGACCTCAGTGTGCCATGGGGAGGATCTCAGTGTGTCAAGAGGAGGGGATCTCTATGCCATGGGGAGGATCTCAGTGTGCCACGGGGAGGATCTCAGTGTGCCACAGGGAGGATCTCAGTGTGCCATGGGGAGGACTTCAGTGTACTGTGGGGAGGATCTCAGTGTGTCAAGGGAAGGATACCTCAGTGTGCCATGGGGAGCACCTCAGTGTACTATGGGGAGGATCTCAGTATGCCATGGGGAGGACCTCAGTGTGCCATGAAGAAGGGACCTCAGTGTACTATGGAAAGGACCTCAGCGTGCCACGGGGAGGATCTCAGGGTGGACCTCATTGTGCCATGGGAAGGACTTCAGTGTACTATGGGGAGGACCTCAGTGTGCCATGGGGAGGATCTCAGTGTGCCATTAGGAGAACCTCAGTGTGCCTTGGAGAGGGGACCTCAGTGTACTATGGGGAGGACCTCAGTGTGCCACGGGGAGGATCTCAGTGTGCTATAGGGTGGATCTCATTGTGCCACAGGGAGGACCTCAGTGTACTATGGGGAGGACCTCAGTGTGTCAAGAGGAGGGGACCTCAGCGTGCCATGGGGAGGGAACCTTAGTGTGCTATGAAAAGGACCTCAGTGTGCCACAGGAAGGGCATCACTCTGAGATTGCTCCCAGAAGTAACCAGGGGACCACGACAGTGACACAAACAGCCAGGATTCCTGCATGCAAAGCATGAGCACTACCCATTGAGCAACCTTTCCGGCCCTTGGAATCCACCTTGTAGAGCTGCAGACTTTCTGCAGTTTGCTAAGAGGCACTGTACAGTCTATGGTGGGCCCTAGATTTTTCTCCCTCTGCCTTTCCTTTTGAGGAGACTCTGTCGGGAGATTGGCCTGCAGAGCCCAGGCAGCAGACCTGAATGGTGTGGAGGTGAATCATCGAACTCGTTGACTCCGGCCCTTCACTTGATGTTAAACTACATTTGGATTCGAGTGTGTGTCACCACTGGCACACCCAGCCTTGTCCATGCGTCACCCGGGGTCTCTTCTCTTCTTACCTCTGCTGGTGATTGCAGGCTGCGCTGCCCTTGTTTTTACTCAGTAATGACACGAGCTTTCAGGATCACTGCTGCATCCATGAGCGACCTCCTGTCCACTCCAGGGCATGGTCAAGCTCCAGGTCACCCTCAGTCCTGAGCGGCCACCACAGGTCATGCAGTGGCCCTTAGGTGGTGCCTGGCTTTGTGCCCCAGGACCTTGGCCAGTGCTCTGTCATCCTCACTCCTGGTAGACTCTGGCTTCGCTTTGGAGCCCTTTGGCATTATATCTGAGTTCTGTTGAAAGTTTCCGAACATTTCCTGCATATTCGCCACGTCTTTGAAATCCCTCTGCTCTTTGCTTACTGCTTGCTTGGCCTTGGTTTGGGGTCCACACACGCATGGATGGCTCGTGACAGGCTTGCAGGACCATAGGGGGTGCTGGGCATTGAACTCAGGTTGGCCGCATGTAAGATAAGCACCCAGACTGCTTTACCATCTCTCCAGCCCCTTCTTTTATTTGCAGGGGGGAGGAGTGAAGGGAGTTGGGGCCACGTCCAGCAGCATTCAGGGGCTGCTCCTGACTCACTCCTGATTGTGTGCTGGGGACTTATGGGGTTGAACCCAGGTCAGCTGTGTGCAGGGCAAGTGCCTTAACCACGGCACTGTCTCTCAGGCCCAGAAATCCCTTCACTGTTTCATGGCAGTGGGGGACATTCAGCTCTGGCCCAGGGCATCCATTGAGCTGCCTCCCATTCGTGACTTTGGCTGTCCGCAGCCCACCTGCCTGTACTGTAGGACCTGCACATCAGGTTCTAAATAGCCAAATGACTCTGGGCTCAGAAAAGTGTCCCCATCATGCTCTGCAGCCTGGCTGTGTGGCACTCTGGTGAGCTGCTGGTCACATTCGGATTTGTGATGTGCTGATTAAAGTCTGTTTCTCAAGCTGGAGCAATGGCTCAGTGGATAGGGCATTTGCCTTGCACACAGCCGGACCGGGTTCAATTCCCAGCATCCCATATGGTCCCCCGAGCACCACCAGGAGAAATTCCTGAGTGCAGAGCCAGGAGTAACCCCTGTACATTGCCGGGTGTGACCCAAAAAGGGAAAGAAAAAAAATAAGGTCTGTTTCTCTCCTCCAGCTCTGAAATAAAGGAGTGTGCCGACGGGTTTCTATTCCCAGAGAAGCTGTAGGATTTAGCCAGTGTTCCCAGTGGTGTTATAAATAGAGAAATAAACTTTCAAACAGAGCAGAGTAAGGACTCGTCGGATACTAAGAACAAAATGAGAACAAGCTCTTAAAAAAATAAAAAAACAAATAAACAGGTGCAATAGCGCGGCAGGCATTTGCCTTGCACACGGCCTACCCGGGTTCGATTCCCAGGATCCCATATGGTCCCCCAAGCACCGTCAGGAGAAATTCCTGAGTGCAGAGCCAGGAGTAACCCCTGTACATTGCTGAGTGTGACCCCAAAAAGGGAAAGAAAAAAAATGGTCTGTTTCTCTCCTCCAGCTCTGACATAAAAGAGTGTGCTGATGGTTTCTTTTCCCAGGGAAGCTCTAGCATTCAGCCAGTGTCCCCAGTGGTGTTATAAATAGCGAAATAAACTTCCAAACAGAGCAGAGTAAGGTCTCATCAGATACTCAGGACAAAATAAGAACAAGCTCTAAAAAATAAAATAGATAAATAAATAGGGGCTGGAGTGATAGCGCAGCAGGTACGGCGTTTGCCTTGCACACGGCCTACCCAGATTCGGTTCCCAGCATCCCATATGGTCCCCCGAGCACTGCCAGGAGTAATTCCTGAGTTCATGAGCCAGGAGTAACCCCTGTGCATCGCCGGGTGTGACCCAAAAAGCATAAATAAATAAATAAATAAAGCCCTGGCAATGACTCTGGCAGCCTCAGGTGGCCTTTGGGGTGATGTCCTGCTCCCAGCCCCAGAACCTGCCGATGGAACACCCTCTGATGACACCAGGTATAGGCCTGACCCTCCTGTCTCTCTCCCGTTTCCTCCCACCTCCTTGTTCTTCTGTGAGCCCACCGGACTCCAAGTGGGGCTTCTGCATTGACTGTTCTGCTCTGCGTGGGCCCCCCGCACCCCCCAGCTCCTTGACATCTGCAGCCCCTGCGGGGGATTGGCGCAAGTGAGGTTGCAGCCAGCGAGCCTCTGGGTGCCCACGGCCCCGACTCTCGCCTCTTCCAGCCGAGCAATGCTTCCTGCCACCTCCTCCCATACATGCCCGCAGCCTGGAGAGCTGGTCCCTGCAGAAAGAGTCCAGGCAGCCACGACCTGGCCTGGCTCAGCGTGGCTCCCACGCTGAACTGAGGAAGCCCAGGAGGTTCCCCCAGAAGCCCAGAGAGGCTGGGGCAGCCTCTGCAGACAGGTTACAGTCACACTGATTTGTGAAAATGGCATCGCTCACATTCTCCTGCAAAAAATTCCCTGGGATGATTTGCCGAGGGAGATTTTACACTGAGCACCGGAGAGAGCACACGGGGGTTGAACTGTTTCCCTCGCATCCTGTTGGCCCTGGTTCAATCCTCAGCACCCTATATGGTCCCCTGAATACTGCCAGAATCACTCCTGACCACAGAGCCGGGGATAGCTCGTGAGCACTGCTAGTGTGACCCCAAACAACACCGCAGGAATAAAAAAAAATATATATATATATATACTACTCTTATAAATGGGCAAGTCTGTGTGTTAGGCATTCATATGCTCCATGTTATTCTATGGGCATTATGTTATAATTTTTATTAATTTAAATCATTACACACTTGCCCTGATTCTCAGGGATGTGTTTAAGATGCATGAAACCACAGATAGCACCAATATCTAAATTGACTATGGTTTATCTATTCCTATGATGAAGTAGATGCCATAAGAAATTAGCAACAATAATGCATAATAAAACAGAACTATTTTTAAGGGCATACTGCAGTTATTTGGGTATATCCTCCTCCTCTCTCTCTCTCTCTCTCTCTCTCTTTCTCTCTCTCTCTATGTCTCTCTCTCTCACACACACGATCATTTTTCATACCGCAGTGGACACGCAGGTAATTGAAACTTGCCAAAAGCAAAATTGCAGATAAAAGGTACATATAATTTAATGAGTTTTTCTGATTGCAAAAGTAATGTTTTCACTATATAAACATTTTTTTGTTCTCTGCCCCAAGCCCCCACAAAAGACAATCAGCTATCTATGCATACCCACACTATTTGAGATGCCCTTCCTTAACATTTGCAATAGCTTTCTACTTGATATTTTTCTTAAGCTCAAATGTATTTTTTAATTAACCTCACATTTACTTTGGAAGTGGGCTGTGATTTCAGTGATACAATTGTGAACCTTTCCCTGTGTCTTTGGAAACATGATTTATAGTAGCTGAGATTCCTTAATATAGAAATGCCATCATTTATTTCACCATTTGTCTTTCACCAGTTCCATTTATATCCATCAGATATATGTTCATTTTCCCCCAAGACTGTAAAGAATTCCATATAGACATTTTTGTCCATATATCTCAGTGCATTTTTTCCCAATTTCCTCAAATGGTAAATAAACTTAGCCAGGGGGTTCTCCTGAGAGGTT